AAGGAAATGACTAACCACTCCACTACCTTTGCCAAGAAAACTGTAAGTAGGGTCATGAAAAATCAGACATAATGGAAAAACAACTGAACAATAACAATTTGCAATGTATTATGCTAGGTGCTGCATTGACACACAAAGGGAAAACAAAAATATAGCCCTCTTCTCAATGAATTCAATAAAAGTATGGAATTCCTCATCCCCAAGAAGTAGTACACATGGGAATTGTAATGAATTAGACAAAGATGTTAACAAAGTTTTAAATGGCAGAGACATAGGCAATTGCAAAGAGAAGTTGGAATATACCTACCTTTCAAGGTTGACATCAAAGAACCAGTGCACATGCCTTGGCATTTCTGTTGACAAAGGTATACTGGGCTAATTATACCATATCCTTTCATGTGTTCCTGTGTTCCAAATTCCTTTATGCAACTTTGTTCCTTCACTACCTAGATCTTAGAATAGAAAATCCTTAAGATCATTCCCAACTCTAACATTGCATGAATATATGATTTGGATGATAACTGACAAATGCATTCAGATATATTCAATATATGGTCTAACTGATAGGAAATCTACTTAGCCATCCCTCCACCAAAATTTGGAAAATTGACTAATATTTTTAGATGTTAATCATTAAAGAAATACTGATTGTGAAACTACATTTTGTGCAGCTTCAAGTTAATTGTTTAGGACCAGCTTTAGTGATTGAATATTGTGGACAGTAAGGGTTCACATTAAAACACACATGCACATACACATACACAATGGAGTTTCACAGGAGGACCACGTTTGTTTCAGTTAGGTAATAAGGAAATGTTCACTAATAATCTCTGTCTATATAATCCCACATAACTACACACACACACACACACACACACACACACACACACACATACATCTACACAATGGTAACTTTAGTTACCTGAATATTCTGCCATAACTGTTTACAATCATTAAGATATTTCAAGTTATCTACTTATTCACTGAATTTTTCACTGTATATCTGGATATTTGACAGTATATTGACACAGCAAAATAATGCATGTATGGGTCATTGTCAAAAGGATTTTTCAATATTTTGATTCCAAGTGATTATAAGTGGTTACTCCAAAAATTATTTTCTAAAACCCACTTAGTGAACAGCCAACTTTACACAGGCAACTTCCTACCATATGAAAGGCATTATGATATGTTGTAGGAATGCAAAAATAAATCAAAACTAAAAAAGAGCAAGGAGCAGATGTTCTATTAGAGGGGAAAGATTTTTAAATGTATAAGTAAAGACATTATAATTTGAGGGAAAATAACACCGACAATTTAGGGAGAGGGGTCAAAGTTTTTACTTGTATCATTTGGTGTACATAATCATAGCAAGTTATATAGCTCCATTGAAAAGTACTTCATCTCACAGAAGCTTTCTTCAATAATATAAGAAATGATATTTTGTCTTAATGAAGTATAAAAGTCTTAATATATGCCAAAAAAATAGAGATTGAGGGCTTTGAAATTAAATTCACAGGCAAAATGGAATCAGTGGATGAAGACTGTAAGACATTGATCTTCTCCAGGCAGAGACATCACACATCAGGCTAATCTAAGAGAATGCTAAGGCTGTGAGTGTTAAGAGGTAGATTAGCATCCCAACATCAAGCTTACTGAGAAAAAAAAACATTTATAGTAATTAACATTTAATCAATATGAGTCTTAATAGATAATTTTGGCACAATAAAATGGAGGAGAATGAGTCTAGAAAGTGTCTAAACAAGAATTTATATCTTATTAATGATGTAAATGGCTTATCATCTCAGATGAGCTATCAAAACATTAATAATTCCTTATCAAAAGGACAAAGAAGACTGATGGAGTTCTCAGAGCACACAATAAACAATCTAAAAATTATAGAAGTGCTTTTGGAACAAATATACCTCACTACACAAAGGAAAATATTAAAAACTGGCGCTAGATTTGGCTTATGTAACCAAAAGTGCTTTATCTCTGGACAAAGCCCATGAAATAATAACAATAATAGTTAATATTTGTTCAGCAGTTAATTATTTAAAATGACTAACATTCAAGAATAGAATCAAAAAGCACTCCCTGAGTGACACCCACATGAACTCAACCAACGATATATAAAAAAAAGAAACATTAAACAAATGACATAAAACATGAAAAAAATGAGTCATGCAGATTGGTTTGTAGTAACAAGGTTTTATGGTGGTGATTTAGGAGTAGTTCGTTGAGATCAGGAATACAAAAAAACAACATTAAGGGCCCCAAATTTATTGATCAATGCGGATCATTCAATGAAATGGTGGGAATTTTACATTTCATTGGTGAAATAATTGTAGTTACAAAATTTTAGGATCTTAACCTGCTGAATCCTATAGAAGGATCATCGCTTGTTCTTGGACCACTTCTATCTGAATCTCATCAGAAGAGATAAGAAGATAATGATAATAACAATCATAATTCACACTCATAGAATGTGTCCACAGAAGACAATTAGCGTACATTCAAGGCAGTCTGTTGGTCCACACTCCTAATTCTATATTTCATAAGCCCTTACTGATTAAATTTTGTTTTGGAAATGAAGAAGTTTATGATCACAACTTAGGATCAGGTCATTGACATCAGAAATTATGAAAGCTTATCCTTAAAGAACCTAGACCTAATCAACAATGTATATTATGCAAAAAAAGTCATAGAAACACATCATTATAGGCTGTAAATATTTAGCACCTACTAAATACATAATATGATATAACCTAGTAGATAGAAATTTACTGTGTTTTATAGACAGACAACAATCCCTATAAACAAAATTTAATGTATTATGGAGAACTCAACCAATAAAATATATTGGAATAGAGCCGTTATTATATAATAAACTGTTGCCCACAATCACCAAGCAATATCATAGATACATGAAAATAATATTTTAACTGATATCACCGGACCAAATGTACATAATTTCTGTGCTACATGTAAAAAAAAAAGCTGTCAAAATCTAGAGACCTAGCACAAAAAAATAATATTTTGTGGAAACATGATGCGTATTATATCACTCCTATTTTCCTTATTGCTACTTGAGTTTTGCCAAGAATACTCTGTGAGCTTACAAAGAATGAACTTATATCATAAAACTTTCCCTTTACTAGATAAAGCAATTATTTTATAGTAGTATCGTGACTTGCTCCAGGACCGTTTCTATCCAAAAAGAATGAGGCAATAATAAGAACCATAATAATAACCCACCTTCTGATAGTCCATAGGACATTCAATATAAAGGAAAAATGGCAGGATAGCAGTTTGTCTGAAGACCATTTCTATCTAAAATCAATCAAAATCAATGACAAGAATAAGATGGTGATGAGGATAAGAATGAAGATGATATGGATGGATATGATGATAAAGCTAAAAATGGAGATGATGAATGAAATTTTAAATGCAGAAATGTTTCATAGTGATCAAACTTTACAGTTTTTGAAATTATGAGAGATGTTCTCAAATTCTGATAGCTATTTATAGATAGCTTTCATGTGAGAAAGTGAAACAGTGTGGTGCAGTGTCTAGAGAGCCTAGAATAACCTAAGTTCGAATCTTGCCTCTGACACATACTGGGTGTGTGACCATGGGCAAGTCTCTTAATCTCCCAATTCTCTAGGCAATTTTCTAAGACCATGAGTTTCATGGAAGATGCCAACCTGCATGGTTAGGAGTTTCCTCAGCTGGAAAATCACAATACTAATGAAATCACAAGTCTAGTACTTATCATGTAATGTGGAATAATGATTAGAATTCTTCTGCACCCAGAAGCAGAATTCAAAACAATGAGTAGAGGCTATATCAGTGAGTATTTGAACCTCATATAAAGGGAAAAATGCCAAGCAGAGTTGTCCAAAAATGGAATCAATTGCCTTGAAAAGTCAGCTTTCCTTCTCTGGAGGACTTCACAGATAGGTAGAATAATTATTTGTTATGTAGGGTGGCATGTAGGAAGGCATTCCTATGCAGGTACTAGTTGAACTCTGAAGTTCCTTCTCACTATGAGACTCTGTGAGCTCCCTTTGATTTGTGATTTAGGGATGAGCTTAAAGGTCAAGCTTCCTAATGAAATCTCTGCCCCTTTGATCTGATGTGGTGTCTGAAATTCCCATCACCAAAGTCATTCTTTTGGTTTTCACATATTCTGTTTCAGGAAGGCCCTACTTAAAATGTATATACATTACTGAAGAGGAATATATATAAAGCTGTATATTGGGGCACAGTATTAATAATCTGGGTCCTAATGTAGAACAAAACCCCGAGGGAATGAAAACATTAAACATAAGTGTCGGTTGATTACAAGAAGCAGGAAAAGTCTATAGCATGGAGTAAATGCAACCCTGGAGACAAGCCTATAGAACTCTGATGGGGAATGAGGGAGTGTATTCAACTAAATGGACACAGCTCCATTAGGAAGGCAGATGATTGTGTGATTTCCTGAAAGGAGCATAGAAGGTACAAGCTGAAGGAAAGAAATCCATTTCCCCCTTTAATTCTAGTGTATTTGGTGGACATTAATTATAGTCATATTTTTGAGTAGGATTATTTTCTAAATTTGTCTTTCTGTATATCTAAAGATTTTGACTTTGAAATGAGCATAGCCATAATGTTTTAATTTGTCATTCCTTTGTTATGCTTATTGCATGTTAGTGTTTTCTTTTGTTACTGAAAAATATTTAGAGATGACTACATGATGGTGAGAAAAGTGATATAACTTTAAATTGAATATAATAAATATTTGTAGATAAATTGGTTTAATCTAAAAATACTTACAGCTACAAGGAAAGCAAGTCAGATGAAAACAGTGGGTGCTTGATAAATGCTTGTTGACTTGAAATTGTTTCTCTATCAAATTGATTAAATTGTTTGAAATAAAGTAAGTTGAGCTGAGAGACTCTTATCACTTGCATTTAATTTATATATGCATATATGTTTTTACTTTGTAAATATAGTTCATTTACCCCTAAAATGCAAGGCAGACGGATGGGAACTTCAGGAAGAACCATCACAAAGAGCACAAGTGTGAGTGGAGAGATGTACAAACTGGAGCATAATGATGGAAGCCAGTCAGACACAGCTGTTGGCACAGTTGGAACAGGTGGAAAGAAAAGGAGGTCCAGCCTTAGTGCCAAAGTGGTGGCTATAGTATCTCGGAGAAGTAGAAGCACATCCCAACTTAGCCAAACAGGTGAGTGAAGTTAATTCAGCTTCAAACTGTATCATTTTGTGCACATGATGGTAAGATATTACCCATGTCCCATGACTTGTGATAGGACCATTGAATGTCCTTGGATACTAAAAGAAAAAAGGTTCTATATCTCTCAAAATTTGCTTCAGGATTTTTTGTTATTGTTGTTGTTCTCATGTATTCATAAAGTATTTTTCTTTTTGTTTTAAGTGCATTTGTACTCTTCTCTGTATGATTGCTAATTTAAAAAAAAAAAGACTTGTTTACAAATGTGCAAGGAAATGCAAAGAAATATAGGTCCAAATGGACTCATGAGAAAAGCAACAGGACTCTCAGGAAAACCATATGTCCATTGGAGAATGGCCCTTTTTCTTATAAATATGAATCAATTTCTTATCTATAGGATAAAAACCTCTAAAAAGTTTTCACTTATAATTTATTTTATACATATATAGTACATGTAAGCATATACGTATGCATATATATGTTTATATGTCCTATAGAAAGGTGAGTTCTTAACCCTCTCTAGGAGTTTGAAGGTATTGTATCAAAACAATCTTTGAATATGAATCCTCAATTCTGCTTTCTTCTTTGTAACTGAAAACCTAATACATATGTTTAATCTGAGCAAAATGGGTCAGTGGATACAGTAAAAGCATGATGCTTCAGGATAGAATTGTTTCAACTTTACTATCTATAAATCTTAAAAGCTTCTTTTGTGTGTCCTTGAGGTAAAATAAGTTTCTGATAGAATAAAGCAAAGACAAGAAAAAAGGTAGTATGCTTTTATGTCAAAAAATATTTCTGCTTCTAAATAATATATGGACAGATTGGCTAGCTCATTGGTGGAGTCAATATTAGGTAATGGTAAAGGTAAGTGAAATATAGGACTGTTTGATATAACTTTGTTTTTCTATACTGATTACCCCTAGCTCCTGATTCTTTTCAACAGAAACAAAAATATTATTTTCATAAATTTTATTTATACCAGACAACTTCTGGTGTAAAAAAAATTTTTTTCCTTCCTGGAATGAGTTTTAAGAAAAACTCATGTATTACAAGATGGATCCAGTCAAATGATAAGTTCAAATGGAATTATTTTGAGCAGTGGATTGTTAATTCTTTTAATACAGAATTATGTAGTTCAGAAATTATCAATGTCAGTAGTATGCATTATCATTAATCTTAAAAAAAAAACCTTCTTTCCTTCTTTTTTCCATTCCCCCTCCATCTTCCCTTCCTTCCTTCTTGTCTTACTCCCTTCCTTGCTTCTTTTCTTCCTTATCTACTTTCTTTTCTGACTAGTTGTTAAAAAGTTAAAAAATTTTTGAATTACAAACTCATAAGATTGTAATGGACATTGGGAAATCACATGGTTCTTTCATTATCTCCAACATCAAAATCATCTCTGTGAGGATATACACACATTCTCAGGGTTTAGGATGGTAGTAATCAGGGTTTGAGATGAAGGGAAGGAAAATTTACACATCAGATTTTGAGGAAAGTGGCAATATTTAGAGTCTGAGGACCTTAGAACAAATCCTGACTTCCCAATTTACTGCCTATTTGATATTGGTAAATTATTTGGTATATCTGGACCTTAGTTTCTACGTCTATTAAATGAGGGAAACAGTAAGACCTGTTTCATTAATAAATCCTCTCCTATGAATTCTACCCTTTTGGCACAAGCTACTTTCATGCAGTTCAAGGCACTACACAAAATTTCTTAGGTAACCGTCTTCTGGCCTAGTATTTTCTGTCTATTGTTATCCAACTGGTGTGGCCTCTTTTTTTTTCTATTTTAGAATAAAATGTTGCCAAACCCTTTTATAGAACCTGTATTTATGTTTAAAAAGTAATAAGTTCATATAAAACCCAGTTTAACCATTCTATCCTCCCTTACTTTAAAATTTGTAAAATTTGTATTTCTATCATGTTAAATGTTATAAAATTCTATGGTTTTTGTCAGTGTCCTGATTTTGGGATGTTTTCTCAGTTTTCATTTTACTTGTTATCCCCTTAGCATCTGATACTGTCCACTGAGAGTTTTCTTTGAACCTTAATTGCCCAAATCTTAGGAACTTCTCTGTATTTTTCAGTGTCTTCTCTTCCTCTTCTTGCCCCTCTAAGTGTTCATTACCCCCAAATTAGGTCATCTTTTTTCATGGTCACTCATTGGAAGATCTAATTCTTTAGTATAGTTATAGCTATTATTTCCACAAATACCATTGCCAAATCTCAAAATATTTGATGGATATTTTGACTTGGATGTCCCATTACTTCAAAAGCAACAAGTCCAAAAACTACTTAATTTTCCCTTCTCTTACTTCCTTTATTCTGTTGTTGCCAACACTATTTCATAATCTAAAAAATCTTGGAGATATTTTTAAACTTCTCTTTCTTTCAATCCTCATAGGGAATAAATTACCAAGTTTTATAGTTTTGTTCCTTAAAGTTCCTTTCCTTTTTTCTCCTTTTCTTCCTTTTTCATTTCCTCACCTACAACAAATCCCAAATGCCCCACATCAAGATGGCTGAAATAGTCGTCAATGCCTCCAGTTAATCGTACATATTACAGGCAGATTAATCTCACTAAAACTCTACTTTCATTTGTGGGAGTTTCCCATTACCCACAGATAAACTTCATTCCTAATATTTGTTATAAAGTTCTCCATCTCTCTCTGTCTCCTTTTCTGTCTCCTTTTCTCCCCTTCCTGATTTCTCTCCCCTCTCCCTTTCCTCCTCTTCCTTCCACTTCCTCCTTCTCTCCTTGTCGCTCTTTTTCTGTGTGTGTGTGTGTGTGTGTGTGTGTGTGTGTGTGTGTGTCTCCATCTCTGTCCACTTCTCTCTATCTTTGTCCCTGTATGTGTATTTTCTCTTGGGCTTGACTCTTTCTGTCTCTGTCACTCCCTTTGTCTCTTCTGTTTCTCTTCTGTGTTTATTTCTGTCTCTCTCTCTCTCTGCCTAACACAATGCCAGGTGTATAGTCTATACAATGCTTAATAGATGCATGTTGAATTAAAGAGAATTAAAAGTAGGTTTTAGTAAACAATTGTTTCTTAGATACATCTACTAAAATTCTCCATTTTATGGAGAAGAAGCTATGAGAAACATTGAATTCCTTAAGGTGTTTCTGAATCTTTCCACCCTTATTTTGTTTTTCTATTCTCTTCAATGGAGGCAGTGTTGTACAGAAGGGCAGCGAGGTGGTGCAGTGGATAGGGTACAGGATAGAATCAGGAAGACTTGAGTTCAAATTCAGCCTGCAACAGTTAGCTATGTGACCCTGTGCAAGTCACTTAACCCTGTGTACCTCAGTTTCCTCTTCTGTAAAATGAGCTAGAGAAGGAAATGACAAACTACTCTAATATCTTTGCCAAGAAAACTCCAAACAGAGTTACAAAGAGCTGGACATGACTGAAACAACTGAACAACAACAACTAGTGTAGGAGACAGCTAATTTCAAAACTAGGAAGATGTGGGCTCAAGTATCACTTCTGACAAACATGAGTTCTGTGACCCTGAGTCAATCATTTGATCTTTCAGTAGTCTAGACAAATCTAAGAATATAATTTTCAAAAAGTGGCCAACCAGCCCTGAATTTGAACTCAGATCCTCCTTCTTGATCTTCCTGAGTTCAAATCTGGCCTCAGATACTTGCTAGCTATGCAAGTCACCTAAATCTCTTTGCCTCAGTTTCCTCATCTATAAAATAAGTTGAAGAAGGAAATGGCAAACAACTCCACTATCTTAGCCAAGAAAACCCCAAATGGAGTCATGAAGAATTAAAAATGACTGAAACAACTGAACAACAAGAATCACCCCAATGAAAATTTATCTTTTATCACATTTTTTAGATGTACATGTACCCATTACATTCAGTTCTTGAAGTCAGAATTTGGTTGCTTTTTCTTGTGTCTTAAACACCTAGCAAAAATGCCTTCCATACATTAGGCACTCAGTAAATATTCGTTGAATGAAATTGGTGATTTTCTATCTCCAGATCCAATTTATGATATTCCAAATGTGGAAATAATTTGCCTTTTATTACATTAATATGTATGGGCAGCTAGGTGGTGCAGTGGGTAGAATGCAGGGCCTAGACTCAGGAAGATGAGTCTTCCTGAGTTTAAATCTGGCCTCAGACTAGCTGTGTGAACCTGGAAAGTCACTTAACCCTGTTTGCCTCAGTTTCCTCATCTGTAAAATGAACTGAAGAAAGAAATGGCAAATGACTCCAGTATCTTTGCCAAGAAAAATCTCCAAATATGTTTATGATGAGTCAGACATGACTGAAAGGACTGAACAACAAATATTAACATTAATTCGAGCTTGCAATGAGCTGTCTTTGTTACCAAGCCAATTTGTAGGCTTCATAATCATTATAAAATCCTCTCATATATCACTTTGATAGTAAATGCCATCTGACTAAATAAATAATTCATTTCTCATGTTGTTTTTCTCACCTTAAATGCCCTCCTGTCAGCCTGCAGAAATGTTTCCTTTATTTAAAGAACCAGACCTTGCTGTTCCTTTCTTGTCTAAAAAGCATCCCTCTGCTGTTCCAGCCCATTTTCATTATTTCCTTATCTGACTTTCTATATCACTGGCTGACTGTATTCATCATCATCATCATCATCATATCATCATCATCATAATAATAATAATAATAATAATAATATCTAGCATTTGCATAGTGTTTTAAAATTTGCAAAGTATTTCACAAATATTACACTTTTATTGCCACAACAATCCTGGGAGGTAGGCACAATTATTATCCCCATTTTACAGATCAGGAAACTAAGGTAGGCAGAGGTCAAGCATCTTGTCCAGGATCACACAGCTAATAAATGTCTTCAGCCAGATTTGAACTTAAAAGTCTTCCCCTAGTGCAACACCTTTCTAAGGCAATACCTAGCTAATTATTAACATAGTTCAGCAATTATTCTGTACCCTTTTGTATTACCTTCCATTTAAGGAATGAATATCTACATTCTCTA